TGGTCTTTTTCATTCCCCTTTTCTCTTTTCTTCTCATCTTTTCTAATCTATCTTGTCTCATCTATCTTCTCTTTTCTTGTTGTCTTTTCTTTTTTCTCATCTTGTATTTTATCTTCTCTTTTCTTCTCTTCTTGTCTCCTCTCGTCTTTTCTTGTCTTTTCAATTCCCCTTCTCTCTTTTCTTCTCATCTTTTCTCTTGTCTTTTCTTGTCTCTTCTCTTGCTTTTTCTCCTCTCTAGTCTTGTCATCATCACTCTCCTCTTATATTTTTTCTTCTTTTCTCATCTTGTCTTTTACTATTTTCTTCTCATCTTTTCTCTTTTCTTATCATCACTCTTTCGAATTATCTCTTCTTTTCTATTCTCTTCTCTTCTTGTCTCCTCGTCTTTTCTTGCTTTTTTATTCTCCCTTCTCTTTTCTTCTCATCTTTTCTCATCTTATCTTTTCTTTTCTCTTCTCTTGTCTCCTCTCGTCTCTTCTCTTCTTGTCTTTCCATTCTCCTTTTCTCTTCTCTTCTCTTCTTTTCTCAAGTTGTCTTGTCTTTTCTCTTCATCTCTTTTTTGTCTTTTCTAATCTCGTCTCTCCTCTTGTCTCTTCTCATCTATTTCTTTTGTCTTTTCTCTTTTCTCGTCATCACTCTTATATATTTTATTCTTCTTTTTTTCTCGTCTCTTCTCGTCTTTCCTTGTTGTCTTGTTTCTTCTCTTCTCATTTCTTCTTGTCTTCTCTTGTCTTTTAAATTCTCCTCTTCTCTTCTTTTCATCTCATCTTTTTTTCTCATCTTGTCTTCTTTTTTTCTTTTTCTCATTTCGTGTTATCATCTTTTCTCTTCTCATCTCTTCTTGTCTTGTCTCATCTCATCTCTTTTCTTCTTGTGTATTCGCGTCTTTTCTCTTCCTATCTCCACTGTCCTCTACTCGTCTTTACTTTTTATCTCTTATTGCCGATTTTCTTCTCATCTCTTCTTGTCTTTTCCATTCTCCTTCTCTTCTCTTCTCTTCTCTTCTCTTCTCATCTCTTCACGTCTCATCTTTGTCTCTTCTTGTTTTTTTCTTCTCTTCATCACTCTTCTCTTCTATTTTGTTCTCTCTTTTTTTCTTATCTCGTTTTTACTCTTTTCTTCTCACCTTTTCTCATATCTTCTTGTCTTTTCTCATCTCTTTTTGTCTTCTCATCTCTTCTCCTCTTGTCTCTTCTCGTCTTTGCTCTTGTCTATTCTTTCTCTTCTTGTCTATTCTTTCATTATTTCTTCTTGTCGGTTCTCCTTATCCTTTCTCATCTCTTTTCATCTCATCATCACTCTTCTCATCTATTTTTCTTCTCTTCTTCTTTCCTCTCATTTTTACTCTTTTCTTCTCATCTTGTCTCTTCTTGTCTTTTCTCATCTCCAATGTTCTCTTCTCGTCTTTTCTCTTGTCTCTTGTCTTTTCTCTTCTCTTCTCTTCTGTTGTTTCAGGGTGTGGAGTGTGAGGTACAATCACTCTCACGACCAGCTCCTGCTCACGGCCAGCAGTGACAGCAGGGTGATCCTGTCCAACATGGTGTCCATCTCCTCAGAGCCGTTTGGCCACCTGGTGGATGACGATGACCTCAGTGACCCTGAGGAGAACCAGCAGGAGGCCAAGTACATAATAACTGTTCTGGTTATCACAGTTCTGAATGCAGATTCAATTATATGAGACAGCTTTAGATAAGTTCAATTGCACTAAATTTTGTTTCTGATATTTGTTCCGTACACAACCCGGGCTCATTGTGGAAACGTAGTCCCACGGACGTTTCTGGAGACCGCGGAATATGTCCTGGCGGGTACGTACGGCTGCAGTTTATGTTTTTGCAAATCCGCGAGAGGCCGCTGTTGTTCGCTTTTTCGCATCTCAGACAACCTCTCGCGAGTGCGGTTCGTGCCCGCGCTGTTCTGGCGTGAACCCACCAGAGGCCGCTGTCCGACTGGCCGCATGATTGACTGCACGACCAGTCAATCGGCTGACCCGCCCTCCTCCTTCCCTGAACCCAACCAATTTTAACGATTGACCCGCCCGCCCGCCCGCTCGCTTCCCTAAACCCGAGCAACAGTTTACAAAAGCCGTCCAAAAAAAGAAAAGCCCTGATTTTTTTTTTTCTACCGCGTTTTCGGATTTCACCGCGTTCTCACCCTGTTACGAAAATCGTTCACTTAATTTTTGGGAATCTGTTTTTGTCTTACCTGATTCCTGGAACCGCTCTTCCCCGGACTCGAAACCGATCGCCGTGGTCAACTCCTCTCTGCATCTCGAGCCTGCCGACGTACACGGTGAGCTGAGTGGACAAACGGGTTGCAGCGGGAAAGCCCTCCACAAGGAGGTAAGCGGTCGG